CAGGCAAATTGGGCGTTAAGGAGTTGCCCCCAGCCAGCCCAACCATACCAAGCTTGCCACGTTGAGTGCCCAGTGAGAGTGTGCCCACCAGCAGGCAGCACATGGTTCCCCTCCTGCAGGTTCACAGAGGAGATTCTCAGCAGATTTTTCCTCTAGGTGCAGCCTATGCCACTGCTGTGCTGCCAGAAGGATCTAAGTAACCACCTAAAAACCAAGCACAGAATGCCAGCTGGCAGGGGTTGGCAGGGACCTCTGGGGATCATCCCATCCAACTCCCCTGCTCCAGCAGCTCACCCACAGCAGGGTGCCCAGGCTGGTGCCCCGGCACAGAGCAGGAGACTCCACAGCCTCTCTGGGCAGCTGCTCCAGGGCTCTAGCACCCTCACAGCAAAGAAGTTTCTCCTCCTGTTCACCTGGAACCTCCTGGGTTCCAGTTTGTGTCTGTTGTCCCTTTTCCTGTTGCTGGGCACCACTGAGAAGAGTCTGGCTCCATCCTCTTGCCCCCATCCTTTAGCTCTTGATCAAGCATTGATCAGATCTCCTCTCAGGCTCCTCTTCACCCTGGGGGTTAAAGGTCCTCAGTGCTCTCAGCCTTTCCTGAGCACAGGGATGCTCCAGACCCCATTCCCCCTAGACAGCCTCTGCTGGGCTCTTGCCCCTAGTCCCTAGTCCCTATTGACCTGGGGAGTCCATAAGCAGAATTATAATTGGAGTGATTGGAAGCATTCCCCCTCCACGCCCCCTTCCCAGCTGCCTTTTCTCTGGAGGTTTTAAGCTGTGAGCTTTTAAGGCTACAACTGTTTTCTTTCTAAAAGCAAAAGACACCACAAAACCCACTGTGGCCTCAGCTGCTTCAAAGGGACCAGCACACAGAGCCTCTGCAAGGGGCTGCTCACTGCTGGGTGTGTTTCCAAGAAGGTTTTCTTCACTGGGTAGACCATGGATTCACCCCACCTCGAAGAGCTGGACAACCAGCCTCTCTTCTAAAGCTTTGGTTTGTTGTAGAAACGTGAGCTTCCTGATGATCCTTTCTGGATTCCTGCTAAACTTTTGTCCTCAGTGATGGTTTGTGGCAAGTACTCTGACATGGCTTTAATCAGATCTAAATTCCAGCCTTTCACTTAAATAAATTTCCTTTTTCTTTTGTATTCTGAGAGGCTAAATCAAGATCTCCATCTCTGCCACTCCTTCCTCTGTACACTCTTATCAAGGCTGCCCTTAATAATCTCTTAAATAGCTAAACTGAACCCATCTCTTCACCTCAGGGATACACCAGGGTGTGTTATTTTTCCTTCTTTTTCTTAAATCAAGTTCTTCATATTTCTCTCCTGTATTTGGAAGGAAAAAAAGTGTTCCCCAGACTGCAGCAGCAGATCTCAGTGCTGGTGGATCTGTGATCTCATCGAGCTCATGGACAAATATCACAAGCAGCACCTGTCTGGACATGAAAAACTTCTTGGCATCTACTGTGAACTTTTTTTGCTGTTCTCAGTGCTGGTGGATCTGTGATCTCATGGAGCTCATGAACAAATATCACACGCAGAACCTGTCTGGACATGAAAAACTTCTTAGCATCTACTGTGAACTTTTTTGCTGTCGTGAAAACTCAGGAGTCATTTGTGGTCTCGTGCTCTCCACACTATCAACTTTGAGCCATGTTACTACTTTATTTCACCAACCAAGGTAAATCCTGAAAAACACAACCAGCTTTGACAAAGGTGTTTGAAAGCCTGAATGGCTGAAATGATTCTGTTCTGTCACGTTGGCCACCTCATTTCCAGAGATGAATCAACTGAGGGTTTAATCCACACTTGTAGCATGGCAGAAGCTGTGTTGGTTTGAGTCTAGTCTCATGATTTTCAAGGTGTTCTGTTATTTTTAGTGGTATAGGGTCCTGCACCTAGGGAGGAATAACCCCCAGCACCAGTACAGGTGAGGGGCTGACCTGCTGGAAAGCAGCTCTGTGGAGAAGGACCTGGGAGTCTTGGACGACAAGTTGTCCATGAGCCAGCAATGTGCCCTCTTGGCCAAGAAGGCAAATGGTCTCCTGGGGTGGATCCAGAAGAGGATTGTGGCCAGCAGATGGAGGGAAGTTCTCCTTCCCCTCTGCTCTGCCTTAGGGAGGCCACCTCTGGAGTCCTGCATCCAGTTCTAGAGTCAAGAGAGAAACTGCTGGAGAGAATCCAGAGGAGCTACAAAGATGCTGAGGGGCTGGAACATTTCTGTGCTCAGGACAGGCTGAGAGCCCTGGGGGTGTTGAGCTGGAGAAGACTCAGAGGGGATCTGATCAGTGCTGATCAAGAACTAAAGGGTGGGGGGCAAGAGGATGGAGCCAGACTCCTGTCAGGAAAAGGGACAGTGGGCAAAACTGGAAGCCAGGAGGTTCCAGGTGAACAGGAGGAGGAAATTCTTTGCTGTGAGGGTGCCAGAGCTGCCCAGAGAGGCTGTGGAGTCTCCTTCCCTGGAGAGATTCCAAACCTGCCGGGGCCCCATCCTGGGCACCCTGCTGTGGGTGAGCTGCTGGAGCAGGGGGCTGGATGAGATGATCCCCAGAGGTCCCTTCCACCCCCTACCACTCTGGGATTCCATGAGAAATGTTTTTAGGCAGTGATGTGAAGAACCACACACATGAGGGCAGAATTTTTGCCTCCATCCAACTCAACTGTGCCACTAATGGAAAAAAAAAAGAGCTGGTCAAGGTGAAGGGAGCCAGGCCCACACCCTGACACCTCCCCATCCTTCTCCCTGCAGTGGTCCAGCACCAGCAGGCTATATTTAGCCATCTCCCTGTTGCTGTGGCAACCAGAGCCTGCTCCAGCTGCACGTCAAGTGGAAGAGCAAGATTCCTCCCTGACCAAATCATGAGCTTGCTACTGCCCTGGCAAGAAATGCCAGCCCCTGAGCTGGGTCCAGAAATGGGCAACTCGTTTTTGGTGGGGGTGGTTTGTCTCTTCCCAAAGACATCAAGCTTGGGTTTTCCAGTCTGTGAGTCTCCCACCTTAGCACAGCCTGAAAATGTAGAGAGGAACTGCTCAGTGCAAGTGTCACAGGAAGCTGCAGATGAATTGTCACTTGAGGTGTTCCCAGCAGAGCAGAGGAGCCAGAGCAGAGACTGAAAAGGCCGTTACCAGAGGTGGCATTCATCTCATCTGCTGTGTTTATTATAAATAAGAAGTACCAGATGTACCAAGACTCAGCTGTGGCTCCTCCTTGCAGACCTGGCTGCCAAGCAGGGACAGGCTGCTCCCTTTCTGGGTTGGTCTGGTAAGAGTAGAGCTGGCTGCAGGATGCTCCAGAGTCACAGCCACCTCCTCACCCTGCTGTCCTCCTGCAGGGCCTGAGGGGCAGCAATGGCACCCCCAGGCCAGCCTTGTTCTCAGAGCCTGGAGCCCTTTTCCCTCATGGGATAAAGTTATGGTTGGCCCAAAGAGCAGCCAAGTACATCCACCACTCATCCTCCCGTGGCTATGGACTCGTAGAGGTGGCAGTGGGCTGTGAGCTGTGACTGTGCAGGAGCTGGCAGCTGCAGATGTTGCTTCTGTGTGCTGCAAACCCACCTGACTTCACAGAACCCAACAGAAAGTGGAAGCTTTTTCAAATGTTTTGCCCTGGCACAGAAGCCAAGACCTCCATCCCAATGCAGCAGTCATTGAAATGGCTCCAAAAAACCCCAAACCCATGTTTGCCCTTTTAGCCACTTATTAACCTTTTCCTTCCAAGCTTCTTCTTGAGCATTAATCCTTGAGATTCCAGGTAATCATGTAGTTGGGAGAAGTGAGAAGGAACATGTCATGGTGTGCTCAAGGGCAGTTAGAACCAGGAGTCAGCAGGACCCTGGTTTCCTGCCTTTCACTCAAAGCTTCTTACCCAGGTGAATATGGAAAAACCAGCACATTCTAGAGGTGGAGCAGAGAACCTGTCCTGAGAAGCTGAAGAGATAACTCTGCCAAGGGGATAACTGTGACAGCTCTTTAGACAAAGAAGAAACTGAGGCAAGAAATGGTTCTAGGTTCAAAATTGAAAAAATAGCCAACCACAGCAGAACCTCTCAAAGCAGGGTGGCTTTGGTCAGGTTGGCATCTGCAGAGGGGGATGGTTTCACAAGAGGCAGGTCCCTTTGGCCACCAATAATAGTAGGTGGGCAAGGATTAACTTTTGACTGGAAAACCCTGAGTAGCTACCACCACTGTAGTATAAAGTACTACCTGAGGGACCTGGGGGTCAGCAAAGGAGGCTCAGGGGAGACCCTCTGGCTCTCAACCCCCCAAAAGCAGGCTGCAGCCAGGTGGGGGTCAGTCTCTTCTCTCAAGGAACAAGCAACAGGACAAGAAGAACTGGCCTCAAGTTGTCCCAAGGGAAGTTTAGGTTGGGTATTAGGAAAAAATGTCTTCCCTGAAAGGGTTGTCAAGTCTTGGCCCAGGCTGCCCAGGGCAGTGGTGGAGTCCCCACCCCTGGAGGGGTTTCCAAGCTGTGGAGATGTGGTGTGAGGGACATGGGGCAGTGGGGACCTGGCAGTGCTGGGGAATGGTTGGACTTGATGATCTTAAAGGTCTCTTCCAACCAAAACAATTCTGTGATTCTATAACCTTCATCTTCTACTCTAGCTTTACTGGAAAGAGTTACACTCCTTCTCCAGAGCTCTGTGGAAGGAGGAAACAGGACTGGATAGAGGGAAGAAATGTGTGATGCTGAGGGTGGTGAGCCCCTGGCCCAGGCTGCCCAGAGAGGTGGTCGCTGCCCCATCCCTGGAACCATCCCAGGGGAGGTTGGCCGGGGCTCTGAGCACCCTGCTCTAGCTGCAGATGTCCCTGTCCCTGCAGGGGGCTGGACTGGGTGATCTTGAAAGGTCCCTTCCCACCCAAACCATCCTGTGACTCCATGACACAAGAAATACCCTTTTCCTTGTCTTTCTCAGACTTGGAGGCTCACCCACTCCAAATGCTCCTCGTGTGGCACCCTTTGGAGGCAATGCCAGGGTGACTGTCACACACAGCTCTGCACAGCTCTCCTCAGCCCCTGGAGCACATCTCAGCCCCAACCTAGGGCAGCCTCCACCAAAAAAGGGGTCTGCACCCCAACAGAGCCTGCCAACAGCCTGGGCACCTCCCCACCAGCCAGAAGCCAGCCTGGAGGGCCCACGGGGAGCCTGGGCAGCTCTTGGTTTCACCTGGAGCTGGCTGGGAAGTCAGAGCACGTCTGCTGTGGCGACAGGGGCGTGCCTGGAATCTGATGGCCACGAGCTGCCTCCAATTCTGCTCTCCCAAATGATCAGAGGCTTCCCTCCACACACCTCCTACTGTAGGACGAGAACGTATTCTCTGCATCCATTTTACTTACCATGACTTAGAGAAATAGCCTTAAGAAGGTTATTCCCAGGCACTGTAACCACCCCCTCAGAAGAGCAGGTTGTGGAGTTAGTGCTGATGACTCAGACGGGTTTTTTAATTCTGCTCTAAAAGGAATCACCACAACAGTGGAGAGAGGAGAGGCAAAATAAAAAGGGAATCGAGTGGAAGAGGCTTCCACCATCTGATGATTCATGCCCCATCAGCGTGACTCACCCAGCTCTGCTCTGCCATTAAAACATGGAGACTGGGCTGATTAGTCACAGGAATGAATTTTTCAAGAAAGGATTCTCCCCTATAAATAATGATGCCTTTGGCTGGGGGGGTGTCACTGTGACTCACCTTTCCACCATGCGGGGCAGCACCAGGCGTGTCATCTGCAAAAAGGAAACAGTCGTGAGGGCTGAGAAGGCAGAGAGCAGACAGGCAGAGACCCAGGGATGCCTCCCTTCCTCCCAGGAGCTGCTGCCACCCCCTCCACCCGAGCCAGGCTCGGGGAAGCAGGGCCCAGCCTTTGCGTGGGCAGGTTATTTTTACTCTACCTGGCTCACTTGGCTCTGCTGAGCAGCCCTGCCTGCCCCATCTGCTCAACCCACCCAGCCAGCAGCACAAGTGGCAGGGGAGTAAATAAAGCAAGACCCTCCCAGCTCCACAGCAGCACCCGTGGCCTCCAGGGAACATCCAAACACCGGAGTACCACGGGGTGCAGAGGATCCTGCCCTCCCCACAGAAAGCATCTGCCTTCCTTGGGACTGAACCCACCAGCTATGCCAAGACTCAGGCCAACATCAGCCCAATTTTTGCTGAGAGTAAGTTAAAAAGAGACTGTGCAGCAGCAAGAGCACTGGACAGAACTAGTGGAGATGAGCTTCCTATGTTATGTTCCCTGCAGGAAAACACTTAAGACCTCAAAACACTTTTTTTTGGTGATTCCATGGATGTTTTCACACTGAAGAACCAACACCCCTGTGAGGAAAGTGGCCTGGTGAAGCTCCTCCTGGCTCTGGGAGCTCCTCTCTTCATTAGGACTCTGAGCAATCTACTTACAACGTGGTTGGAGGATTCTCCAGAGCAGGAATCCTAAAGCAAGCTGCAGAGGGAGCAGCTCTGACAGGGGAAACTGATCAAGCCTTGATCCAAACAAGTTTTTAATTAGTGTGAAATAGTTTATTTTCCTACTGGTCATTACTACCATCCTAAAATATGATTGAAATCCAACATCTCTGCCTCTAAGAAATCATGCTGTCCAAGTTCAGCTTGTGCTAAATAATACCCTGCCCTCACCCAACCCTGTTATTCAATGTCACATCACTGACACCAAAAAAAAGACCAGACAAGGAACATAAATTCTTCTTTTCACATCTTTAAAAGGGGCTCCAACAAAGCTCTTGAAAACACACTGAGGAAGGGGAGATAAAATACTAATGACTCCCCCCCTCAGGATCCCAAATTTTCCTTGACAATTTAAAAGATGAAACATTTTGAGTAGTATGGGAGGAAAAAAACCACACACAGAGAGGAGAAATTAGGATCTACTGACTGGGGGGTTGGGTTGGTTTTAGTTGATACAATGACTGATTTCATTCTCAGCACTGCCCTAGAAGTCAAATTAAGAATTCAAAAAAAAAATCTCCAACATTCAGAGCATACATGAGGTTTTTTAATCCACTCACATTTCAAGAGAGATGTGGAAAGAAGTATTTCTTACTATTAAAAGATGAGGAAAGCTTTGTGCTGATTTTAAGGCTAGTTCTTTCATTTTCTGGCAGATCTTTCATCTGGTACAAGCTTGATTAAGGAATCATAGTCCAACCATCAACCCAACACTCCCATGACCACTCAGCTAGAGCGGTGAGGCCCAGGCTGCCCAGGGAGGTGGTGGAGTCCCCATCTCTGAAGGGGTTCAAAAAAAGGGTCTGTGTGGCAGTTTGGGGATATGGTTTAGTGGTCATGGTGCTGTTGAGATAATGGGTGGACTTGATGACCTCAAAGGTCTTTGATTCTATGCTCACTTCCTTTTGGTTTCATTCAAATTAAGGTTTTGAGGGAATTTCAATGACTAGGGCAAAACTGCTTTTGTCCATCTCGTGAGGTGTGACAAGAGAAATAAGAATAAGCAGCTTTAGGAGCAGAAAAAAAGACTTTTCTCAAAGAATCACTAACAGAAGGCAGCTCTCTGAGTCAGTCTCACCTCAGCCAGCCAAGTCCACGCTCAGCCTGTTCCAGCAGGATCTTCTGCAGCCCTGCCCAGCTCTGGCCACTTGACATGTCAGACACACACGTGAAATATTCCCAGCACTAATTCAAATTTCTGCAGCAGAAATGTAGCTGGGCCACTAACCATAGGTAGTTTCAAGATCTTTATCCAAGCTGGTTGAGACTCGGGTCTTCAACAGCTATAAAACCTCAGCCCTGTTATGAAACAGGCAGTTCAGCCACTCAACTGAATAAATATCACCCAGATGAGGAATTCCACTTGTAGCTGGGTCTCCTCTGGAGGCAGCCACTTCAGGAAGGGGCTCACTTCTTAAATATGTGTCTCAGATTTGCTCAGGACAATCTCCTTGCCATCACAACTTGTTCATCTCTACCCTTTCTCCACAGGCTGACCAAAAGTGATGTTTCACACACCACCATGAAGCTGATGAGGATTTTTTTTTTGCCTTGTTGGTTTTTCAATGATTTCACATCCACCCCCCCTGCTACCATAGAATTTGGGGTGTAGCTCCTTAGGTCTGGAGGGCTGTGTTACCTTGAAGACTCATTACAAAGCACTTCATTGACCTTCTACAGGCAGCTGGTATTTCTTGCTGTCCTGGGCACTGCTTCTAGTGCCCACTCTTCCTCACCAGACCTGCCTTCTACCTCCTCATTTTAGGAAAAGAAACACCACTTGTAGCCTAAAGAAGCAGGGATTTCTACCTGCAGACACAAAAATGCACAGCCACGTGGCTAGATCTAAGTTCTAAACCAAGTGCTACACTTTAAAGCTCCTATTAAAGGATTAAAAAAATAATTAGAAGTTATAACCATGTACTTCCAGTGGCTTTTCTTCAGGAAAAAATCTCCTGCTCTCAGCAATCACTGAGTTCTCTTTCCTCACTCCAAGCCAAGCAATAGCTTAGGGAAAG